GCAATGGGAATGTCAAGCTCCAAGTCCCAGAGAAGATCTTTACAACATTTAGTGTACTCTTCTGTAAAAATTTTGAATAAATTAATTGCTAAAACAGGTAGGTTCAGGCATCATTTGGACAAGTTTCAAGAATTTCCAAGGATGGAGATTTCAGTCTTGGTAGACAAAATGTTCCAGCTTCTTTGGGTCCAATTGGAATTTCTCATGTAGTGACTTAACACACGGTTGCCTTTCTTTCTTTCATTGCATATCACAGAAAACTTTGACTTAATCTTCTCTGCAACCTTTAGGAAGTAGAAGATTATTCATAGACCACTTTGTAGCTGCCTTATCCTTCAAGTTGGACACTCTGAGTTCCTTCAAGCTCTTCTCATATATCGGGACCTGGGGTTCCCTGATGGTATGAGTTACAGGACTCTTTCCAATTTGTTGACATTTCTTTTGTACTATTCATAGAAAAGTGCCAAAACTGGACTTAGTATCCCAGGTGTAGACTCACCAATGGCAAGTGGAGGGTAACATGCACATTCTTCAGACTGCAGGCTATACACGTGCTCATGTGCTGCAAGGATGCACTGGTGGCTTGTGTTCAGCTTGCTGCCTGTCAGAATCCCCACATCCTCTTTTTTGGAGCAGGTGTGCAGTCATACAGGCTCCCAGCCAATGTGTATTTCATGATCCATTCTTCACTTGCTCAGGTTTCTTTAGATAATTTATCTATAATAGGGTGAAAAAAATCTGTAAATATTTAGTCTATCTTATTTATGAGAAAACTACAACAGAAATTTTTCACAGCACCTGTGGTAATGAAAAACAGTTGGAAAAGATGGTTGAACTGATGTTGGAAAATAGTAGATGGATCAAGGAAGTTGTTGGATAAGATGTCCCTTTTGAGTAACTTCAGCATTTTTAAGGGAGGTTTTGTGTGTTGGGAATTATGTGAAACTAGAACAAAGTGAAATGAGTAGAAGAGAAAGTGAAGAAGACATTAGACTTTTAAGGGTTACGAGTGAATAACCAGTGACATGTTCCAGAGCAGATGGTTATCAAAGGCTCTGGTTCCTAAAATTATAGTGTAGTGAAAAGATGAGGGATAGGAGGGTGGATGGTCATTGGTGCTGGAATTTTTTAAGTGGTGCAGCAAAATCCAGTAGGGGTTGAATCGACCCTTTGATAATAAATTAGAGGGAAGTTATTTGGATTATACTGGAAAATGTTTCCTGTGCTTTGGTTCCTGCTGCAGAAAATACTTAAGTGTGAGGAAGACAGCCTTGGGTGTACAGCCTTTGTATCCTGTTTTTTCCAGCTGGAAAAGTGGGTTCATGCAATGAACCCTGTAGCTGTTTGCCCAGAGGAGGTGGCCTTATACTACCTTCAGCCATGTTTTGCCTGCTAATAAGGAATGAGGAGTTTAAAAAAAAAGTGAGTGGAGGTATTGTATGCTCTACCCATGTAGCTGTCTTAGTTAATTGGAAACTACTGTTACACACCCTACGCTAAGAACAAAATCATATTTCCTTGCAGTAATAACTAAGTATAAATATGGAAAGCAGTAGGAAAGCCACGGATGATGTTTTTGTTCATTTGAAGGATTTTATTTTTACTATTCTTGGCATCATTAGCAACCATTACTACCAAGATCCTCCACAGCATCTTTTACTCACAGTAATCTTGTATGGTTACAAGATATTTATTTTATTTTATCATTAAGAATGTGAGGCACTACCTCCCATACTTTCTCCAGAAGTCTGTGAACTCCTTGCAGGTCTGTTATGCAAAGAATCTGGTTTAGAAAGTGAAATACGTTGCCTACTGTCTTAAAACACTTCTAAATCACTTTTGGGTTTTTTCTTTTGACAAATGGAAGCAAAAATTAGTTACCCCACAATTTTGCATTGAGGTGTTACCTGTATTTTGCTTTGGCAATTTATTGCATTTACTTCCCAGTCAGACTTCCAGATGCAACAACATTTAAAAGAATCCATTTTAAAAAATACTGTTATTTTTCTCTATGATGCTTGATCAAGAATAGTGTACATTTGTTGAGGTTGCTAATATACATTAATCGTCTTGCATAGAAATGTTAATATGACAAGCAGCACAATCCCATACCTGTCAAAAATACTCTAGAAAACACATGCAGACTTCAGTGAAGTACTGTATAATAATTTATGTCTGAATGCTGAATATTTCTTTAATCTCATATGATTTTTCTCTAAACAACTCACTGCCTTTATTGAGAAAATTTTATTCATTCCCACCTTAGTTTTCATCCATATCTTTGTGTAATTCCTAAAATTGTCAGTATTTCTAAGGTTTTGCTTTCAACTGTAGTAATTGAAGTGTTCATATGACAACAGTTAGTCTGCTTCACTGTTTTTTTCCAGATTTTTTGGTTAGTATGTTCATTTTCCTTATTTCTCCATAAAGCACCATATAGTGTTACAGCTTTCTGATATATTTTAAGGTTCAACTGAATATTAGTTATGCCCTGCAATATTTTTTAAAAATGTATGTGTACGTTTAATAATATTTATAGATATATAAATATGTGGATTTTTCTTAATATCTAGATGATGTTGAACACTTTTTTATAACCAAATGTTAACTGTTTGTGAGAAATAGTCAAGTATAATTTCTTCTGAAAATGAGATTTTAAACTAATTTGAATGTATAATAATTTTATATTAATGTAAAGCATCCTGAAAGGGATTGTGGCATATTAATAACATATTTATAGAGCATTCTGAGAACTTTGTTTGTTGTTTCTTGCCTGCTGCTGGTATATTACAAGTTTTTTATCTTTAATAAAAACAGAAATAGGAAATATTCCATTATACTAAAACTTATTTGTGTTTTATTTCTAGAAAGTTTTTTTGCGAAGAAATGGCCTCCAGCATTGGAAATGAAAAGAGTGTGAATCCTGTGCTCAGAATAAGTCAACTTGATGCTCTTGAACTAAACAAAGCACTGGAACAACTAGTGTGGTCCCAGTTTACCAGCTGTTTTCATGGATTTAAACCAGGGGTGTTGGCTCATTTTGAACCAGAAGTAAAAGCATTTTTATGTCTTATATTATGGAAATTCACTATCTGTTCCAAGAATGCAACTGTGGGACAGGCTATTCTCAATATTCAATACAAGAATAACTTAGCTCAGACAGAGAAATACCAGCCTCTGAGCAAACACCAGAAGTTGTGGTATCTTATTTTCACTGTTGGTGGAAGATGGTTGGAAGAAAGATGTTATGATTTATTTAGCAATCGTCAACAGCAATCTTTTGGCAAAATTAAGAGCTGTATTAGTTTTGGCTCTGGACTTCTTAAGCTTTGTGGACTTTTAAATTTTCTGATTTTTCTTCAGAAAGGAACATTCGCAACACTTACAGAACGTATTCTAGGAATTAGGTCAGTTTTTTGCAAGCCACAAGGTGTTCGTCAGATAGGATTTGAATACATGAACAGGGAGCTCTTATGGCATGGCTTTGCTGAATTTTTGATATATCTGCTACCACTCGTTAATGTACAGAAACTGAAACTTAAAATTTCTTCTTGGTGCTTGCCTATCGCAGGTCTTTCCAATAGTGAAAACACGTTAGCGGCTCACTGCAGGGAATGTTCACTATGTGGGGAGTGGCCTACCATGCCCCATACCATAGGCTGTCCACATGTTTTTTGTTACTACTGTATTAAAAGTAATTTTTTATTTGATATGTATTTTACATGTCCTAAATGTGGCTCTGAGGTACACAGTCTTCAGCCATTGAAGTATAAAATTGAAATGGCAGAATTGCACATCTGATGTGAGGTTTAGTTTTATACTGTACATGATATGTATTGAAGAGATTAATGGAAGAATTCAGAAATTATTGAAAGCAGACTGCTTAAAGATGGTTTTGGAGACTCTGTAATTTATTGTAACATGTATTTTTACTGGTCTTAGGTTTTTATTGAGTAACAGTGCTGTAATGCCTTACCCTGCTTGGCAGGTATGGGGAAGGTAGTTGGATTTACTCTGCGTGGTGCATGGGAGAAACAACAACATTCTCAGGAGGTTCAATAAGAACTTCTACTTGCAAAGTTTAGAATATTCCAATTCCATCATAAGTATGATGTTACACTAAAAGAAACGAAGGTGTAAAGAAGGTGTAAGCAAAACAGTGTACCTTCTAGACCTTCATGAGATGACAGCTAATTTGCCCAGGTAACCATGTCTCTGATTTTCAATTATGTATTTATTGCCTACCATCTCTTCCCTCAGAAGCTGAGGGATGAAACCCATCATCCATTGGAATGTGGCAGCTGTTCAGGGTAACCCACGTTCTTCTGAGTCAGAGACACTGAAGAGGACTGTTTACTCACAAGATGCTGTCTGTAGGAATTACCACTCAAGTTTTTTGGTGTGGTTAAAGTGAGTGCCAAATCCTGAGAGTTCTCTTCCATACAGAAAAAAGTCAAACACAGTTATGTGCAGTTTAATATATTAAAATAGGTAATTTCCTGTGTTTTGCTTTCACTGTTTGCTTTCTTAGTTGGCTTTGCAATGTTTTAATTGTTCTAACACTTTGTCCATTTACTTTTCAACCTGGTTTTATGAGATTATTTTCTTGTTAATTGCAGTCCTTTTTTTGGCAGAAAGTCTTATCCAGAAGAGTCTCATTAACAGAAAAATCCATTACATCCTCTTTTGAATCTTAAATTGTCAAAAACATATACAGTTAAATTGAATAAATAGCTTTATGGTGGCTCTGTTCTTGATTGGCAATCATCAATAGTCAGTCCCAAAAATAGCAGGCTAACAGCTGATTGAGTATCTCTGATCTACTTTTATGAAATGGTTTATTACATTCTTCATTCTACATTCTGATTAGAACAAGCCACTAGCCTGTTTGTTTGAAGATCTTAAATTCTATGTTTTGATCTTTAGAGTGACACACAGTGCTTTCATCTGATGTAATTAGATATAGTTAGCAGGTGGGCAGCCCAAAACTTCATTAATTCTGCTACTGTTCTGTGAGTCAACAGAGACTTCAGAGCACATGCTTCCAGATACTTTGCTGCAGTGTTATTTGCTGTCAAATGTGTATATTAGCAGCCTGCCATATTTCTGTTATTTGCTGTTGCAATTAGAACCAGCAGGTGTAAACCTGTTTTTATTAGAGTATGAAAACTGACAAGTCATTTGGAGAGCATCCTGAAGTTATGTCATGATCCTGATGGAATTTTGTATGAATTGTCCATCCACGATACTCAATAGCTTTTCCCAAAGAAGCGTATTAGCAACCCTGACATCAAGGTGATCTAATGTCTTCAGAAACATTGTTAGGATTTTTGGTACTTTGGTCTTTAACTATACTTACTAATTAAGACTTGTATGCATCCAAAATCCAGTGTTTGTAGCTTACAATCATAGCAGACCTTTGTTTGCTGTGGACTCTTCATTTATTCTGAAGTTTCAGAGCAATATTTTATCAAAAGAGCATGGATTCGCTCTGTTGGCTTTCTGCTAGGTGTCATGTCCTTCTTACGTTGGAGTTAGCTTCTTTCCTATTTAGAAATGTTTCATTTTTTGAATATGAAAGAAAGTTATCTTCCTTTTTCATTCCACCTGCTTCTGTCCTGCTGTTTGATGTGCGTAAGCTGTATGAATTTCTTGGGGTTTGTTTTGTCTCTTGGAGCTTCATTCAGGTAAAGTTTGTACTCTGTTTTTCATCCCTGCTACACTATAAATACAAAACCTGTTTCAAGCAGTTTAGTACTTGAACAGCTGTTTTCTGCTGGCTCTGCTATATTGCACTTTACTGTTCGTTTTTTTTTCTGGATTTAGACTTTTAATACTTAACCTGTGCTGACTTATTGCATAAGTCACTTAAGCGAAGTGTTGTTCTACTTCTGTAGTGTGTCCTCATCACTGTGTTGGGTTTGTAGCCCATAACATTAACAAAGTTGTGGCATAAACAGGTTTTGTTATCCTAAGACCCTAGATATTAAGGTGGGGGTTTAGGTCTTTCCTTTTCCATGCAAGTAAGCAGGTACCAAGCAACTCACAGAAGTGGGTGGTTTGGGAAAAGAATGGTTGTTTATGTCAGATACAGATTTTTTTTGTCTCCCATATGGTAAAACCTTTGCTCAGTAGTAGTTGCAGCTGAGATTAATGAGACCAGGGTTCCAGCTTGAATATTGAAAAATATGCTCACTACCAGCTTATCTTTTTAGTACTTCAAAATCAATATTCAGCATTTTTCTGAAGCACTTTAAATATGTACTTTTTTAATATTTAATTCTGTTTTGTTGTGTCTTGTGATCTGTAAGCTGCAGAAGAGTCTTAGTTGAAGATATTACAGGCAAATACTGATAATTTGTAGATTAATCAAAGGATAATTAGTTGTACATATTAATTACCTTGATAATTTGTCCTCATAAGCATTATATTTTTCAGGTTTAAACTCTGCTTTAACAAAGGACTGCTACATCTGGTCCTACTTCCTGCAGCAGAGGGAATACAATTGTTTTGGAATGTTAATCTTTAAAAAAAAGGGGGTTACTACTCAGCTACCATTAGAATGTAATTGCGAGTAGTCATATGTGCATCAGAGAAAAGGATAAGTGCTTAGAATTTAGAGGAGCTAAAGGGCCAGAACTTCTGTTCAGTCTTCGATAAGCGTTACAGCCTTCTGTTACCAGTTTTTCTTTGTGTTCTGTTGGCTTTGTGTGCTTCATGAACATTTCATTATCAAAAATCAAAAAATGAAGGTGTAAATAAATTACATTAGACTAATTACATTCATAAACATACTAGAAAACTTTTCATTTCTTCATTTGAATGAGAATTACGAGTTGCCACAAGGTGTGATTCAGGACGCATTCAGATTAAAGGAGTCAAAGAATGCTGATTTTTACTTCCACATACCATCACCATTCCATCTACACTGTATGTTTTAAGGGAAGTCTTATATAAATAATTTTATAGAAGACTTACAAGCAGGAGTTTCTGTAAAAGAAAAGAGATGAAAAGTATTTGATTTCTGCCTTACCTGGAAATAGTTACTTTTTCTTAAGTGTGAGATATGATGGACAAAGCTGATCTCAGCATTAGTAAAGAGACAAAGTGAAGAAAGATGAAAGATTATGTATTTGCTCAATCTATTATAATGTTACTTGAGAATATTAATGCAATTGTTATCTGGGATGTGTCATTCTTATGAAAACCAAGTTAATAAATAAATGATACTTTTCTTAACAGGAGGTCCTGAAGTTTGGCTTTTTATTAAAAGAGTTTTTCTGGAAGGGTGGTTATTTCTTACTCAGTGGATGACTTCATACTGCCATTTATGAGACTAAAATGCAAAGTGCGAAACTAGTTTAGACTTCTCGTTAAAACTTTCTTCAGTTTTAGGTTTAAGCAAATTATCTTCTTCACTTTTCTTTTGAGTAGATTAGTCATAGATGTTACACTTCACTGTGTGTTTGCTAGGAAGCTGTGTTGTCTTGTACTAAGAGAATATTGTGGCACGACGGCACAGGAAAGGGTCGTGCTTATGGCCACGACAGATAATAAAACTGATGGTCATTGGCTTTTAATACAGTATGGTAACCTGAGCTGCTGCAAGTTGTAGTGCATGCAACCAAAACAGCAGAATCAGTTTCAAAATGGTGCTTCAACCCCTTACCTATTCCCTGAAGGAACTCTTAGTAGAACTGGTTGAATAGATTACAGCTGCCTGCCGTCAACTTCCCAAGAGAGTTTTGCATGCTGACAACATTAAAACTTTCACCTAAATTGTCACCCCCATCGTAAGTTTCTGCCATTACAGGGGACTCCACTTCCAAAGCAAGGAGCTGGCACAAGCGTGGCCAAATTCAAGGAGAGGAGATTTGTGTGTAGAATCCCTCCCAGACTGGCACCAGAAAAATCACAAACATGTGCAGGCAGGTTTGTAGCACATCTGCTAAAGCCAGCTAGTCATCTTTTCTGTTCTCTAGAGCACACATGGGGTTTTAGAATTCTCAAACTCCGTTGATCTGCGTACAAATATGCAGATCTGTTTCAGATAAGAGGTGTGGTGTGGGCAGACTTGTACAGCAGCAGGTGCAGTTAGTTCTATGTCTTGCAGGCAGTTTTTAATAAGTATAAAATCCTTAGCTCATGCCTCTCTGATCATGGGTCTCCTAAGAGAACAAACTGGTGCAAAGTATAATAAAGTTGACTGGTGTGCTACCATTCATCTCATACCTGTCTACTTTCAGGGACATATTTCAAGGATACTTCAGAGGAAAAAAGGTTGTCAGTCTCATAAATGCTCTTCATTAGGCTATATTGGAAGACCTGTAATGGAAAACTAATCACAGCATGTTGGAGTAGCTCAGGAGAGGGGGGAAAAGCTGACTCCTCTCTTCCAGTGTTTTCTGTATTCATTGCAATCTTCTCTCTAAATTCTTGACTGCAAAACTGTCAACTTTCATTAACGTGACCAAAGCATCCCATCATGTTCCCTTGCTTTTACTTGCCAATAGCTGGTATGCCATTTTGTTTAAAGTCCTTATCTAAATAGTCCTTCAGGAGACACTGTGCCAAGGAAATAACCCTAGATAGCATCTCCAGGTTGTGCAGTTGGCAGGGATACCTCTGATGCAGTAACTGTGTCAAGGATAATCCTTGGAGGTACATTGTCGTAATGGAAAAAAGCTCACATTTTACAAGTTCAGTAGTTTTCAGGTACCTGATTCCCTAACAAGATGGCCCGCATACCCTCTGTAGTTAGTTCTCCTTTGTGGCCTGAAGACAGGGTGCATAAAGGATCAGGGTTTTCTGCCTAAAGGCAGGGCACTCCCTGGGGATTGGCCTCTAGGAGAGTGCCTGTTGCAGCAGGCAAAGACAATAAATTGCATCTGTGGCAGTACTGACTCTTCTATGAGACTATGTAGTACCTTTGAAGACCTGCAGAGTTTTGAAACTTGTCCTGTTCTGTTGAGGTCTACTGCCTGTTACGTGGTTACTCTGGATGAATTCTCTCCCATTGTACCCAATTTTGATACAAAGTTTTTCATCATGGTTGTGTGGGTTGCAGTAAGGGCTTGGTATTATGGATGTTGACACCCAGTTTGTCGCTGGTCTTCATCTTAATTTCAGATGCATTAAACCACAACAGAAACTGTGAACATACTATGTGAGCCAATTATCTGTGTAGAGATGCATGACTTGTGACAAGGCATAAGAGGCAGTGTGCATAATGCAGATCCAGGGATAATTAAGCTTTTCTTAAAATGCTTTTGTGTCTGCACTTAAATAGGTTTCTCACGAGAGATTACCATTGCCACAAAACAGTCTCTCTGTAATTAATAAAAGCTTTGGTGATGTGTATGCAGTTTTTATTCATAACTTCTAACTCCAGCCTCTTTTGACTTAGGCTGCTACCAAAGATTGTGGATCCCATGGTTTGCTCCACCTAGCAAAATCACATGGTTCAAAGATAAAGAACAAGTAATGACCATTGCTTCAGGACACTTTTCATAGAGGCTGTAACATATCCATGACTGCTACGCTACCAATAATAGCAACCTATCCCTGATTTATTCTGTATTAAAATGGTAAGAACAGGGCAAAACTGGAGGCAGGGGCTGGACATCAGAATCAGAGCTCTAGAGGAATGTGGCTGCAGGGTAAGGAACAGGAGGATTTCAGAGGGCTTATTGTATGCAAAAACTGCACTTACTGCTGTTCATTCCATATACAGAGGACAAAACAGTCCCATGTGGTGTGTGATATTTCTTCTCCAAAAGCAATGCTGGAATATCCAGAGCATGCTGCAGATGCAAGCATGAGATGGGCAATTAGCCAAGTGGCACAGCTTCTGTTATATGTGTTGTGGAAAATTGGGTAACAGTCCAGTTGTGTTTGGCTGGTTGCCTCCAGGTTTAAGCAAACTCTGGCTATTGCAGAAGGTCCTGCAGTATGCTGTCTTATCTCGCATCCTTTCACAATCCCTGTGACTGACAGCAGCAACAGTAGTCACCCTACAACAGTTTCAAAGGTAGTAGAGTGTCAAGGCACAAAAAAAGTGCAGGTTGCTCATTGCATCATTGCTTAGTGCCACAAAACCCCAACTTCATAAAAATATAAATTGATCCAAAAAAACCTGATGCATTATCCATACTTGCAGAACCAATATAGATATCAGGATATGGAGATTAGAAGTATGAAGAAAATGGCACTTGAAAGTTTTTCACATACACAGCAAAACAGCTTTTGCTGCAGAAATGCAAAATGCATTAGTCATTAAGAATAGATATCTGCACATTTCCAGTCACCTACAGCTATTTCTGGAAATACATGGCAGGATCAAAAAAGAAATAACATTCAAGCTGTGAAATACTTTACAGAAATGTCTCAAGATTCTAAAAGAAATGAAAAGATTGTAGCAATAAAACCCAACTCTTGCTGAATGTAAGAATAAAACATTTTGGTTAATTCTTTAAAGTAGCTCCACTAATTAATTTGCAGGCATTAAACACTCAAAAGATGCATATGATTGTGAGAAGTTGCTTTTCATGGGGAAATGGTCAGTTCTTACACCTAAGCTATTACTTTAACTCATGCTTTAAAGGGGTTGTTGGGGGACATTCAAGGAAAAGCATTTAATTGATTTTCCATGATTATAGAGAGACACTGCTTACATTCTCAGGAACTGCTCGTGAACATGATTTAGATTTTTTTGAAGCAGAACACATACTTTTTGGTAAAAGTATTAATTTTATGATATGTTAACAAAGGTAGCTCTTAATATTGTCCTTGCTTTTTTTTTTTTTTTTTTTTTCCCTTCTTGTAAGACCTTATGGAATGGATGGAAATTTTAATTCTATTACAGAAGTAAAAGCCCCTTTTTGGCTTGTAGATGATGATATTCTGTTAGTGACTGCCTTTTCACTAATGTGGTGGTCTAAATTCTGAATTCTATTATTTTACATCTGCAGCGACTGAAAGTATATTTTTTATAAACAGCAAACTTCACCTCATAAAAATTCATTACATAAGGGCATAAACAAGTACTTTTCCTTCCAGTCATTGGCAGTAAGTGATTCATCAGTTTTCCACAGAAAACCAATTTCATTGCAGATGTTCTGCAGACTCCCTGAATTGTAGAATCATATCATCCAATCCCAGCACAAGGAATGTAGGAATTTTTTTTTTTAAGTGTAGAAAAAAGACTGTGCTTAGTCTTTTTAATAGGATTGAATATCATTTGCTGTCTCATCAGTTTTGTGAAATAACCATAAAGTAATCAGCTTGCCATTCTTTCCTTCCCTGTACAGGCTATCAACTTACTCACAATGCTGATTTCATAGCAAGTGCATAAGTGAATAACTTGCAGGAGAGCAAAATCTTCCTTTGAGGTTAAACAAGATGTAACTGGGTTACATAGTTGTCTCTCCTTCTTTTCTTCATTCTTTCTCTTCTTTGTTTCTTCTTTCTTCCTTCTTTCATTCTTTCCTTCTCATTTAATCCTTAAAAATATAGAAATTTCCCATAGTAATCAGCCACTAATTTTCATTGTCTAATAAACCTGCCTTTTTTCTTCCTTTAAAAAAAAAATAGTTTATTTTTCTAAGAACCAGTAATTAACTGGTTAATTCAATTCTGTTTTTCACAATGAGCCAGAAATAAAGGATAGACCTAAAAACTACTTCTTACAAGTGTGTGCAATTTTGTTTAATTCTATTCTGTATAACATATAGAATCCACCCTACTATATTTCCACTGCATTAACTTATGTAGATACAAAATTCGATTCTGATAGCTGAAGGAGGGAAAGGAGACAAAGGAATATATTAGGATGAAAGTGAAAAGGTATGGAGAAAGTTTGAAGCAGAGAAACCAGAACAGTAGCTGGCAAGCAGCAGGAACCAGAAAGAGATTGTTTTTTCCAGTAGGAGGAATTTTTTTTTATATATATATATATCTCCAAGAGGAGGTTGAATTTAGCCCTTAGAGAAGAAGCTGATAGTAGCAAAATGCACAGATTAAGTCAGCAGGTAAATGTTCTATACAGCTTTAAGTCTTGCTGTAAGTCTCCTATTTCCCATTTTGTTTTATCCATTGCTGCTATTCTTAAAGTAGCATAGAGAGAACATTCCTCCAAACATGTGTGGATCAATAAAACCAGTAAGATCCAATCTAGAATCACAGAATCGAAGAATTATTTAATTTGTAAAAGACCTCTAAGATCATCAAATCCAGCCATTGCCCT